CTGTCCTCACCCTTTGAAGCTTGAGGCTGCCGAAATTCCCAGCTCCTTCCATCTTTGTCTTTGCATGCTTAGGCAGGAAGCTCTTCTGGGCTTGCAAAGAAAATACAGAATGGATTTTTCCATTATGGTCTCTGCACCCAGATAGACTGGGATTGTTTCCAGCAATAGAAACAGTGCTCTGGGATTGGAATGACAGCTCCTAGAGTAGAATGATGGTCCCAAGCAATATAATCTGTGTTCTGGAACTGGAATGACAGGGCACAGAGTAGAATGACAGCCCCTGGGAGTAGCAGCAGCATTCTGGCAATGGAATTCCACTATGGGGGCCCTCATTCCAATCTCAGAACACTTCTGCTACTCCCAGGGACTGTTATTTCACGCTGGTGGCTGTCATTCCAGTCCCAGAGTACTCTATCTGGGCCCAAAGACCTTAATGGGAAATCCATTCCTCATTTTCTTTGCAAATTTGTCTGTGCTGCAATGTATTTCAATGGAGTGAAGCTCAGGGAGGTCCACTTTCCAGTGTTTGTATAGTTGAAGCTGTTACTTAATGGAGTTGTCTACTTGCAAATACATACCTCATGTTTTGAGCCAGCTTGTCTCTGCTGAATGGACCTGACAGCGAGTGCCTGAGTGAACACTCTAACCTGGGAACCCAGAGCCAAAGTGGGACATTACACTGGAGAGTCACTGCCACAGAGTAGACTGGGGGGGGAGAGAAGTTTGTAATGCCCAGGCATTTTATGTTCCTAAGAGCATTTTATATTTTTAGTTTATATTTTTAGTTTCTGCTGTGATCCTTGTGCTTTTTCTTGATATTTTATTTTCAAAATTGCATTGCCCAGCGGCATGGGCTGGGATGTCACCAGTATGCGGATGACACCCAGCTCTATCTGTTGCTGGGCAGGCAGTCTGACTCTACACTGGAAGATCTGGACTGGCCGTTGCAAGCCGTGGCTGGTTGGCTCTGACTGAGCCAACTGAAACTGAATTTGATGAAGATGGAGGTCCTGTGCCTGAGCCTTGGGGTAGGGATCCTACTTCCGACCTTCAATGGGGTGCCATTGGTGCCAGCGCTGGAGGTTAGGAGCTTGGGAATGCTCCTGGATGCCACACTAACAATGGAGGCCCAGGTAGCAGCCACTGCCAAATCAGCCTTTTACCACCTCCGGCTGATTAGGCAGTTGGTTCCCTTCCTCGAACTCAACAACTTGATGACAGTGATCCATGCAATGGTCACCTCGAGACTGGACTACTGTAATGCTCTCTACATGGGGCTGCCCTTGACCCAAATCCAGAAGCTACAGCTAGTGCAAAATGCTGCAGCCAGGCTTCTGATGGGCCTCCCTATGCAGGACAACATCCAGCCTGTGCTGAAAGTACTGCACTGGTACTTACCTTTAAAGCCCTTTATGGTCAGGGGCCACATACCTGAGAGAACGCCTTTCTCCACATGTTCCCCAGAGAGCACTGCGCTCAGGGTCACAAAATAGATTGGCCTCCCAGGTCCTAAAGATGCCAGGCTGGCCACAACCAGGGCTAGGGCCTTCTCAGTGGTGGCTCCGTACTGGTGGAATGAGCTCCCAGAAGAGATCAAGGCTCTCAGAACCTTTTATAGTTCTTCTCAGGACCTTTTATAGTTCCGCAGGGCCTGCAAGATGGAGCTCTTTCACCAGGCCTTTGACTAAGCAGCAGCACCAAATAACATCAAATAACAGAAGTGACAGTGCCCTGGTCCTTGGCTTACCACCAACAGCCTGTGCTGTTGCCTAAAGATAGAGACCAAGACGAGCCAACCACCAATATAGATAATCTGATTACAACACTAGTATTGGCTCTGCCTTCTGTAAGCATTCTTATAAGTACCTGATCACTTAATAGCACTTTATGATAATGTAGAGTTTTATTATTTGTTTTAAGATGGTATATAATTTGTTACCTATATGTTTAATCTCTTTGTAAGCCACCCTGAGCCTGCTACGGCAGGGAGGGCAGGGTATAAATTGAATAAATAAAGTTATTCACAAACTCTTTTGTTTCTCAACAGTTTTCTGCATTGCATCCACAAGCATTTTTCCCCTTGTCCTCTACTTCCATTGCTTTCTCAACTCCTTCTAGCATGAGCTGTGCCATGTTGAATCCCACAATATCCATCACCTCTACTTTCATTGTCTCATATTTTAAGAGGTTACTTATGTTTCTATACTTTGGAAGATTTCACCAAATCACTTTTACTCTTAGGAACAAAGTCCTTAAAGTACTTCATAACTAAACTGAAAACAATCTGTCTTCTCACTGGGAAGTCATCACATTTCCCCAAAAATGCACTAATAAAAACAGAAAAACACAAACTACATTCACAAAAATCAAAGAAATACTTACTTTATTGACCATTTTTTTAAAAAAACTGACAAATTACTGACCAAGATGAAAAAACAGACTTTTACTGATCATTTTCCACCCTTGCAAATTCTGGAGAAATACAAAGCTCATACTCTGTTTTGTGATTTTTAGTTGTTCCTAATAAAAAGTACTACACAGCTTTGGGGGCGGGGGGGGGGGACTAACCCAGCCACCTACAACCTCTAATCTGATCCCTTGCATACTTTCCAGCTAACATCTAAACATCAAAAGTTGTACAAAGCTGCAGCTGAATACCATGTTCTGCTTGCTGTTTGGAGTATGACTTATACAGTATATTTCACCACTTGTTTCTCAGTTGCATTACCGGTTTTCTCACATTTCTGAAGTATTCAGCATTAGCTATAAAGGCCTGAAGGGCCTGGGCCTAGCATATCTTAGGAACAGCTCCAAAGTGAACCTTCCTACTAACTGAAATTCTCTGCAGTCAGTGGTCCAGTAGATCCAAAGACTATTTTTCCTGTGTTGATGCCACAGCTCTAGTACCACTCCTCAAAGCGGCTCAGTGTCCATAATTTCAAATTTTTAGCCATCATGTTAAAACACTGTTTTTCTACTAAGTCCTAACATCTTGAAACTGACACGAAGTGTTTTAGTATTTGCTGCTGCTTGTACACTTCATTTTTATTTTACACTGTTTTGTATACATAGCACACCATTTGGAAAGGTGGCCCAGGAGTTTTAAAAACTAGTAAAAATAAAGTTGTTCACAGAAGCCCTAAGATGTTATATTGGAGAAGGGAAGGAGCTTGAATGTACTTGACCGTGAAAACATACATATTAGTTCAAGGACCCGAAAATTAAACTGCAATTGTATGTAATTTACAGTGTGTTGCCCATATCAAGTAAAAATATACTACACTTATAGAATCACAGAGTTGGAAGGGACCTCCAGGGTCATCTAGTCCAACCCCTGCACAGTGCAGGAAATTCATAAATACCTCCCCCCTCCACACCCACAGTGACCACTGTTCCACACCCAGAAGATGACCAAAAAACCCCCCTCCAGGATCTTCAGCCAAACTGGTCTGGAGAAAAATTGTTCCTGCGATCAGCATTTCTCTGGGCGTGTAAGAAAGGGCCACAAGAACTAAGCACTTATGCATCCCTTCCTGCTCTCCCTCTCATGATCTGCCTAAGTTCACAGACTCAGAATTGCTGTCAGATGGTCATCTAGCCTCTGTTTGAAAACCTCCCGAGGAAGCCTGTTTTCTCCAGGCCAGTTTGGTCAGGGATCCTGGAGATTTTTTGTCATCTTCTGGGTATGGAACCCCAGTCACTGCCGGTGTGGAGGGGGAGGTATTTGTGAATTTCCTGCATTGTGCAGGGGGTTGGACTAGATGACCCCAGAGATCCCATCCAACTCTATGATTCTAACCGCTGTCAGGAAGTTCTTTCTAATGTTTAGCCAAAAACTCTTTTGATTTAATTTCAACCCGTTGGTTCTGGTCTGAACTTCTGGGGCAACAGAAAAAAACTCTGTACTATCCTCTATATGACAGCCCTTCAAGTATTTGAAGATAGTTATCATCTCTGTCATCTCATCTCCAGGCTAAGCATACCCAACTCCTTCAACCTTTCATCATAGGACTATATCCTTCTTAAATTGTGGTGCCCAAAATGTCTGCTTCATTTATTTCGGATGTCTATAGGAATCCAAAAGCAACTCTAAAAAGTGCTGTAAGCCCACTACATATACCATTTAATGTACCTGAAGAGTTCATTCATGTCTATAACAATAACCAAACTGGTAAATGTAACTGTATGGAATCCTGAGCATTCTATACCTACTTTACTAAGATGTGCTATTTCACAGAACAATGAAACCAATTATTCCACCTTGTCATTGACAAATGATTCTAAACATCTTCAAATTCCTCAGAAATAAGACAGCACTTAAGAGAGTTCTCTTTGTTCCCTTTATTTTTCTTTTCCGGAATCAAAAGTGAAGATCTGAAACACCAATAAGTACATAGTTGATATTTAACTTGGAACAAGTTCTGATGGCACGGGATACAATGCTAAAAGTTTGTGTGACACAAATATTAATATTGTACTGTACTTATTTAAGGAGCCAGTGCAGTTTCATAATAGATTTAGAAGTGTTTCAGTTTTCTATCAGTGCCTTTCATTGCTCATATAGGCCATTTCACACCTTCCATGACAACAAAAGTAGGTTTGCCTGCCACTGAGTTCAATTCACCAGGCAACTTCACCCAGTCCCACCTACCAGATGAGAGTACTGATATGATATATGAATTTGCAGCCACATATTTATTATAGTCACATTTTGTGACACAGATTAGGACGACAAGGCAATTTCAAAATTACATTGCTAGGCATCCACCAAAGAAACAGCCATCCACCATAATGCCATAGCACTTTACTTTTTGATATGGAAGATTACAGAAAATATGTAAACAGGTGACTCAGCCCTTGGAATCTTTGGAGCTTGGGAAGGCATGGGGTTTCAGATTGATTCTGCAAACTAACATGAAACTTAAATCCATATTTCTATTCAGACATGCATCCTCGTCATTATTCACAGAAAAGAGAGGGAAAAAATAGGAAAGGCTTACCTCCATTGATTGGTAAAGGTGCCACAAGCAGACCTTTGACAGCTACTTTGGGAGAATCCTGGCCATAGCGTCCACGGTTAAGTCTTAGTAAAGTAGGTGCAGAACGCTCAGAATTCCATACAGTCACGTTTACTAGGGCTGAATAATATGCTTGATTTGTATTATCCGCACTAGCTAGGAGAATATAACAATTAAAGAGAACCAAAACGGGCACAGCAGGTGAACAGTTCCAGGAAGGTAAAACACACTTCAGGATCATCTTCAGCCCTTAGAAGTGCCTTCGGTTAATTTTTATCAAAACTTTGCAAAATAACTGTATTTGTATCTACAGTGTGCAGAAATCCATCACGTATTCATTCCATGCCATAGTCAAAAAGGAATTACAACCACATGAAGAGAAAAAGCCATCCTGGGTGCCTGGCAGAAAGGCAGCCCTTTCTGCCACTGAGACCGTTGAGGAAGCTTAAACTGATACGGATTAGGGAAGGCAGGGAGAAGCCCTACGCCCTCTTGACTTTTTTTTTTTTTAAAGATAACCAATTCAGAGGAAAATAAGCCTGGGTATATTCAAAGCGCTATCACAGTTGGCAGGGTAGATAGCGAGGCGACAGCCAGCGAGACAAAAACCCTCGTATCGAAAAGCTTTTACACGGATTATCCTTAAGAGGCCAGGAAGTCCTTCACGCCGGCTTTCCGATGGAGCTCTACTCTGGATCGGCCTACCTCCAAATTTCTGCCAAGGAGACGGAGAAAAAGGCGACTGAAGAGGCGCAGGCGGCGACGCCAGCGCAGCTTTGTCTCTTTGCGGCGGCCCGAGGGAAGAACCGCGCGGGGCGAGGCGACCGTCCCTCTGGGGGAGAAGCGCTGGGGAGGTGAGGGAAGAGGCTGGTTTGTTCGGTGGCGAGGCGCCCCCCACCCCAGCCCGCCAGCCCGAGAGCCAAGCGCCTCCCCCTCCGGGACTGCTGCGACGCCGGCGGCAGAGAGGTGGACGTTCAGCGACACCGCTCGGCCCCCAGCCTTGTTGCTGGACCCCCCTCAACAGGCTCCGAGGCCGCCCTCAGGCTTGTTGTTGGGCTCCCCGCTCGGCGCCGAGGCGGAGCTTGGCTTCGCACGCAGCCTCCGCAGACCCTCCCCAGCCCCAGGCGAGCGACTGCAGCAGCGGCGGCGGGACCTCCATGGCTGCAGCTCCTCGCCAGTCCAAAGAGGAACTCGCCCGCCAGCCAACCACCCTGGCCGTTCAACAACCGTCGCTCTGTCCTTCTTCCCTCTCCTTCTCGATTGGAATATCGACGACAGCAACCGCCAACGACCGGGCGGATTCTCACGGCGGCACCACTGGCTGCAACCTGCCGGATACCTCCTCGCGCACGGGGCGCAAGCGCACTGCGCCAACCCACCGCTCGCCCTCCCCCATCGCCACGAGGAGGAAGGAGAGAGCGGGAGGGAACTCAAAGGAGAGGTCACACCCACTCGTCGGGGAAAGGGCGAGGGGCGGGGCCAAATGGCGGTAGGGCTCTGGGGGCGTGGCTAGAGGGAGGGTCATGCTCTCTTGGAGGGAGAACGGCTAAAATTAGGTTATGGAGGAGCTGGAAAGGAGGACTGCGGTTGTTATGGAACATTTTTAAGCTGTAGCCACCTAGCAAGAGGTGTGTCGTATGAAGGATGCAGTTTTGTTTTGGCGACCTGTGATTATCTACTGCGTAATCCCTGCACTGAAGCACAATTGATGCATGAAACCCCACCAACCATAGCATAATTCTCCGTTACTGTTAGCAGCTAATTGGAGATGACTCCTGGCCATACAAAGTGATGATGTGAGTTTAAGAGAGGATCGAATCAGTCTCTCTGTCACCCCTTTCTCCAAACAGTTTCTTCACTGGCCGGTTTGCGTCTCCCACCTGCATTTACGGCTATGGTCACTAATGCTTTGAAGGAAGCACCGTCTAATTATATCTGCCTGTGGAATGTCAAAGAAGTGAATATCTACTCTGCCACGGAACCTTTGGTCTGTCACACTCAGACTAACCTAACTTGCAGGGTTGTTATGAGGATAAAATAGAGGAGAATGATGTACGTTATTTGGGGTTCCATTGGGGAGAAAGTCAGAGAATAGATGAAGTAAATAAATGTAGCTACCGGTAAATATCAAACTAATGCAACACTGGATAAAGTGGAGGTTTATAAACTTATGCATAGGGTGGTGAACGTGGATGGAGAAAGATTTTTCTTCTCCCATAATGCAACCAGTGAAATTGCTGGACTTCAACTAGGTTCAAAACAGACCAAAGGAAATACTTCTTTATTCAATGAGTAATTAAATAGTGGAATTCACTGTCAGTGGACTTAGTGATGGCCATGATCTTAAGTTACTTTAAAAAGGGATTAGACAGATTCAGGGAGGATAGATCCCATCACAGAATCATAGAGTTGGAAGGGGCCATACAGACTATCTAGTCCAACCCCGGCTACTAGTCAATGGTTACTAATCATGGTGTATAAAGGGAACCTCCATATACAGAACAAGGTTTGAGTCCAGTGGCACAAGACCAACAAAGTTTTATAGACCAACAAAGTTTTATTCTTGGTATAAGCTTTCATGTGCATGCACACTTCTTCAGATACAGTGAAACAGAATTCACCAACCATTGCCAGGAAGGGCCACTTGGAGCCAAAATTGGATTAAGGCAATTGGTAAAACCAGTGAATAGTAGCAATTGGTAAGACCTGTAAATAGCAGCAAATGTAGCTAAAACTGGATTAAGGCAATTGATATAACCTGTGAGTAGCAGCAGGTTAGCATACAGCATAATAAAGGAATTTTCAAACAGATGTGAGAACTGAATGACATTAGCATGTGTAGTGAGATAAGAACCCAGTATCTTTATTAAGCCCTTGGGGTGCCATTGTCCAGGGTGTTCTAACTCAGCAGTCTCCCATTCTAGTCTGTTTCAGAAATTATTTTGCAATCAAGCAGCTACTATCTGGTCCTCCATTGAGTGTCCTGGGAGGTTGAAGTGTTCTCCTACAGGTTTCTCAGTTTTGTTATTATTCATTCATTCATTCATTCAATTTATACCCTGCCCTCCCTGCCAAGGCAGGCTCAGGGCAGCTTACATAATAAAATGCATATATAACAGGAAGCTTAATTTCAGAGCAAAGTTTACACACATAGGTAGCTGCTTGGAAGGTAGCCTGCAGCTGAGTGGTCACATGACCAGAGAGGCAGAGGGAGAGTGTGTGACGTAATGGTTTTGGAATTTTCAGTTTTGAACTGGAGGGAGAGAAAAAACAGTTGGAAAAGGTGGTTAATGGCTGACTGCTGACCAGAAGAGGAAGGAGAGAAAGGGTGCTCTCGGATGGGAGGGAGAGTGTGGAGGCTGGACCCTGTGAGCTGCTGAGGAATTTAATGATAGAAACTCCTGGTGAAAAACTCAGACACACATAGTGCTCCTCTATAAGAAATCCTGTTGGGGAAGGTTATACAGTTCTAGCTCGGGACCAATTGCAAGTGAAGCAGTTTAAGGAGACGCTAGACCAGTGGTGGCGAACCTATGGCTCGGGTACCAGAGGTGGCACTCAGAGCCCTCTCTGTGGGCACGCGTGCCATCGCCCCAGCCAGGCCCAGACCATCATTAAAGTGTTGAATTCTCTGCCAAATAATTTTAAGTAAATGAAAGCATTTGGGATTGCTTTCCTTACTTTGTTTGGATCATCTTAAGTTAATGTATGAGTTGTTTTTTCTAAAGTAAAACCTCAGTATTCAGGTTAAATTGCCGTGTTGGCACTTTGCAATAAATAAGTGGGTTTTGGGTCGCAGTTTGGGCACTCGGTGTCTAAAAGGTTTGCCATCACTGCGCTAGACTGTGGGAGAGCCTTCAATAGAACATAGAGATAAAAGATGGACTGTGCAAGAAGGGTGTGGTCTGGAAGAAAACTAAAAGACCTAAGAGCAGTCCAAAGTTTAAAAGGAAAAAAAGGAACAAAAGAAAACCTGAACAACTGATTGACTCCCTGTATATAACCTTGTCCCCCAGTGTTATTTTAAATAAACTTGTATTTGTGTTTAAAGTGGAGGGTGTCATAAACCTCTGTGTAGAAGAGGAGGAGGAGGAGATTGGATTTATACCCCGCCCTTCACTACCCAAAGGTGTCTCAGAGCGGCTTACAAACTCCTTTCCCTTCCCCTCCCCACCACAGACACCCTGTGAGGTAGGTGGGGCTGAGAGAGCTCTTGACAGAAACTGCTCTTTTTCAAGAACAGCTCTTATCAGAACTACAGCTTGCCCAAGGTCATCCAGCCAGGTGCGAGTGGAGGAGTGGGGAATCAAACCCGGTTCTCCCAGATTAGGAGTCCACACACTTAACCAAACTACACCAAGAGGGCAAACTGGCAGTAGAGAGGGGGAAAGTGTGCTGAGAGCCCCCTGCAGTTACAGCATATATAAATGCAATTAACATCCATCATAAAAACCATTATTCTTGATGTCAGATTCTTGTCAATTTATCCTTTGGTGTAGGGTTTGATCTGTTTGCCCTCTGTAGAGAACTGAAGTTTGTTGGCATTTAATGGCAGTTTGTTGGCATTTAATGGCATATACAATGTTAGAAGTTGTGTAAGTGAATAAGCCTGAGATGATGTAGTTAATGTTGTTAGGTCCAGTGATTGTGTTATCTGGGAGTATGTGGTAGCAAAATTGGCATCTGGGTTTATTGCAAGCTTTGGTACCAGTGTCCATGTTCAAATTAGGTGTATTATTGTGGGTGAGTTGTTTACAATTGGGGAGCTGTCTGTGGGCAAGAAAATGTTTGCTCCCCAGTACTTGTGAAAGAGGACTGTCATTATCCAGTAGAGGATGGTGATGCATTGAACTGTTTTGAGTTGAGAGCTGTATGTGTCCACTAGTGGTGTTCTGTTATTGTCTCTTTTGGGGCCTGTCTTGCAACAGGTTTTCTCTGAGTACCATTCTGGCTTTGTTAATCTGTTTCTTGACTTCATCAGGTGGATGTTTTAGTTCCAAAAAGGTTTGTTGTAGATCCCTCAGGTGAGAATCTCTGTCTGTAGGATTGGAACAAATGTGGCTGTAGCGTAGAGCCTGGCTGTGTTCAATGGATTCTTTGGTATGTTTAGGATCGTAGCCGGAGGCATGTAGATATGTTTGTTGGTCAGTAAGTTTCTGGTCTGATCCAGCAGGGATTTTCTTGTATTCTTTCATTATCTTAGCAGAAATTATTCAATATAGTAATTTCTGAAATAGCTAGAATTTCTGTTAATTTCAAACCACAATTTTCCATTTAGACTGGTTCCACATTACATCATTGAGCTATGCTGTATTAAACGTGTGGTACATGTATAAATACCCTGGCCATGGGACAGAGACGGTACTGGTTGTCCTCACGGACAACCACAGGAGGTATCTGGATCAAGGCAGAGTGGCAATACTGTTGTTGTTAGACCTGTTGGCAGCGTTCAACACAGTTGACTACCAGTTACTGATCCACTGCCTCGCCAACACTGGGATTCAGGGGTCTGCCTTACAGTGGTTGGCCTCTTTCCTACAAGGTTGGGGACAGGGGGGGGGCATTAGGGGAGCAGCTGTCCTAAAGACACCCGCTGGTTTGCAGAGTACCACAAGGGGCTGTTCTCTCCCCGATGTTATTTAACATCTTTATGCACCCCCTTGCCCAGATTGCCCGGAGTCATGGTCTGGGATGTCACTAGGGCTCTTTTAGAAGAAGCCCAGCAGGAACTCATTAGCATAATAGGCCACACCCAACAGCAGAAACCCATTAGCATATTAGGTCACACCCCGACAGTGTCACTCATTAGCATATTAGGCCACACCCCATGTTACCAGAAGTGTGCTCATCCAGCATAGGACATCCTCTCCACGACATCAGAGCCTTTAAGCAGATAGTTTCCAAAACAGTCCTTCAAAGCCTAATTACATGAACTAAGCAGCAAGCAAGATACACTGTTTTGAAAAGTATTTCCCTCATAAATACTCAGAGATCCTGTGGTCTCCCAGCAGTGACATTCACAAGCAACGGACAACCCAGAAGACTAAAGATGCATCAGAGTCCTCAACGTGATGCTTAAGCAATGGGGAAGGGGGGAGAGAATGAGAAGGCACTTATGTAAACCAAAAACACTGGGACACACTTCAGCTTAGTAAGCTGCCAAGCACATGAAAGATCAGACAGGTCATTTCACTTGTGGTCATTATTGGGAAAAGATGCTTTATCTACAGCATTTATGATCCCCACATGCACCCACACACATCCCACCTTCCTTCCCCACCAGGACCGGTGCCAAGTTTTTTTGCACACAAGGCGAGGCTACCTTCTGGCGCCCCCACCCCCTGTGCGCCCACCTATTTTCAAACATAAATGCATTTTTTGTTATTAATAAA